TGCTGAACCCTCCTTTTCAGCACTTCACCTTAAAAGTGTGCGGCCATTTCCACCCCGTTCCTCCTTTGGCAAACTTCAGACGCTGGGAAAACTCACAGGTGTTCAGGGTAAGCCAGGAACCCACTGATGCTACACTTCAAGCCGGCCAAAACCAGTTCTAAATAGGTCAGTTAGCCACTTTCCCCTACGTTGGAGTTCCTCGAGCTTGTGCCCTTCTTTTCCCAGAAAGATGGTCAGAGGTTTAGTTTAGTCTTGACTTTAAGAAATTCAGGGTGTGAGGTGGGGCCCTAAAGTTAACTTTTCTTACCCCTGCCTTTCTAAGTACTTTTCTGAGAAGCTCAAAGAAATCCACGTTGTCAGCAAAACTTTAACAAGGCAGTATTCTTTTTCCTCTTCCTTCTATTGTCCACGTGTTGGCAGGTTGCAAAGCACGTGTGGCTTATTCTCAACACATTCCTGAAAGCAGCAGCAACTTCTGAAACCCACCTCTTCTCTGCACATCAGTTCTCCAACAGGTTCACAAACATTATCCCCAAAGCTCTGCTGTTCGGATTGTGATTCATCTGCCACTCATGAGGATCCTTGACACTTCAGGTAAGCTCCAATCTTAAGGGGTAAGAGTCTCAGATGCAAACGCTGGTGTCATTTTCTTTATTTTCCATACCAACTTAATTTCTGACTGAGGCTGAGCCCCCATTGGGCTGGTACTATAGACCAAATGTTTGTGTCCCCCACAAAATTCATATGTTGAATCCTAACCCCCAATGTGATGGTATTGGAGGGTGGGGCCTTTGGGAGGTGATTAGGTCATTAGGATGGAGCCCTCATGTGGGAATTGGTGTCAAACTCAAGTTCGTGCGCCCGACACGCAGTGAGGCCAAACAAACTGAAATGTTGGAGTTGGGATGGGAGCAAAGAAAGGTTTATTGCTGGGCTGAGTAAGGAGAACAGGCTACTTGTGCTCAAAAGACCTGAACTCCCCAATGGGTTTCCAGGAAGCTTTCCGGACGCGCAGGCTCAGCGGCCACGGCTCATGGGCCCAGCGGCCCCGCGGCATGTGGGATCTTCCCGGACCGGGGCACGACCCCGTGTCCCCTGCATCGGCAGGCGGACTCTCAACCACTGCGCCACCAGGGAAGCCCCTCAAGGAAGCACTTTTAAAGGCAAGGTGAGGGAGGAGAGTCACAGGGTGTGTGAACTGAAGAGTTGTGATTGATGGTGAGGTAACAGGGTGGGGTCACAGGGATCAACATTATTAATCCTTAGGTTCCTATAGGTCTGGGGGCTAAGTGCTCATGGTCATCAAGTAGTTAACTTCTTCCATTTGGTGGGGATTTTAGCATCTGTAAAACAACTCAGGAAATGTGCATCAGATATTGTTATTCAGGTACTTCAGGGAAGAACTAAAAATTCTGTGACTGCCGTATGGCTGTTTGTTTAAATTCTTAGCAGTTCTCAGGGCCCAACTGCTATTTTTGTCATTACATGTTCACATCCTTTGAATCATTAATTCTTGAGGCAGGCTTTTGTGACTCAGGGGAGGCCTGGGAGACTACA